CAATGTTAATAACCAGACATCAGAGACGACCATTTTGAAATTAAAACTCAAACTACGATTTATACAACACAAGAAAATTATTCTCATGGTTCTGCTTCTGTTATAATGAGAACAACAACAGTAAAATAATAATAATAATAGTAAGAACATCCGTAGGAGCCGTGGTGAGGGTTCGAACCTATGCGGTGAGTGTTCCCAGACAACCAGGACACGACATGGTCAAAGAATTGCAACCTGAAGTTCTACTGAACCAACGAGGATTCCCGAGGTATATAGGTATATATTATATATATATATATAATATATATATATATATATATATATATATATATATATATATATATATATATATATATATATATATCAGGGAGTTGTAGCCTCTGGTAATAATAATAACGGTCCATCTGCGCCATTTTATACTGTGTAATTGACAGTAATCTTTATGTTTACATTTACAGTTCACGTACCATCATAACATATAACACATAATATAACATTAATATATCCTTTAGTTCTCCCCATAATTTGTGTCTTTTGCTACTCATCTTTGAGTGACGATTTGTTTCAGTTATATTTGTTTAATTAGGATATACAGTATTGTACATAGTACATAGTACAGTATGTTCAATATTGTGTAATATTCACGTTTCTTACAAGGTGTATAACTGGTAATCTACAAGTTCTGGTAAATGGTTTGTCTTTGAATAAGTTTGCTTTGAAAAAATGGTTCGTGTTTGAATTGCCCGAAACTCTATGCGTACTAGTGGCTTTAGGCATTGTATGTACTAGCTCCATCTATAAATCAATCTGAATGTTTGTAATTCTGCGTCTATGTGTGTGCTTTTCCTAAATAAAATATTATTATTATTATTAAGTGTTTTGTAAGCTTGTGGTTATAATTTTAAATTCGAATTACTTCTGGTATCCGCGTTAAAGCCTAACCCATTTTGTTTTGTGTGGTCAGTGTTTTACGTAAGTTTAAATTGTGGCTGATAAGTGTTGCTTTGTATAATGTAATCCTGTCCAGTGTGAGACCTTCGTTTTGATGCTCAATTTTCAAAAGTTAAATTTTTGTACTTTAGGCTTTACTTCTGATATATACGAAAAGTATTCGAAGCCTCCGTGGTTTTTAATTCAAATTAAAGAGGAATTTTAAGATGTTTGTCACGTCAATTGTTCTATTTTATTATGAATAATATATATATATATATATATATATATATATATATATATATATATATATATATATATTATATATTATTTAAAATTTCATTACACAAAAAGGGTTACAACATTGGTTACATGCAAGGTACAAGGCTGCTTGTCACAGGTTGTAGAGCTCCTCCAGCTCCTCAGATGGCGGGCAGGAACCATGGATGCAGTGAGCATTTCCTCTCTGGATCGCCACACTAAGTCACTGAAAGAGGAAACTGGCGGCTCTAGGGTCTCTAGTTGGTTTCAATTAGTTTTGAACCCAGCTCTGATGAAATTTTAAATAATATATATTTAATAATTATATATAAATATATATATATATATATATATATATATATATATATATATATATATATATATATATATATATATATATATATATATATATATGAATGAGCAGATTGCTGGCTGCTGAAGGAGACCATTAAATACTTCATACACCAAGACTCCTCTACAAGAGGCAATATCTCTTACATATCAGGCAATATCACAGTGACAAGGTTACTGAGGAAAGGAGGATAGAAGCACAAACCAGTGATTCTATACGATGGTACAACATGGTTGCAGCTGGCAGTTCCAATCATTATGGATGAAGAGGAGGTCACTATGGCGGTGTGTCCACCCACAGGATGAGTGACGCTGCCCAATACTGTCACTATAGCGGTGAGTCCACCCACAGGATGAGTGACGCTGCCCAATACTGTCACTATAGCGGTGAGTCCACTCACAGGATGAGTGGCGCTGCCCAATACTGTCACTATGGCGGTGTGTCCACTCACAGGATGAGTGGCGCTGCCCAATACTGTCACTATGGCGGTGTGTCCACTCACAGGATGTGGCGCTGCCCAATACTGTCACTATGGCAGTGTGTCCACTCACAGGATGAGTGACGCTGCCCAATACTGTCACTATGGCGGTGTGTCCACTCACAGGATGAGTGGCGCTGCCCAATACTATCACTATAGCGGTGAGTCCACCCACAGGATGAGTGACGCTGCCCAATACTGTCACTATGGCGGTGTGTCCACTCACAGGATGTGGCGCTGCCCAATACTGTCACTATGGCGGTGTGTCCACTCAGAGGATGAGTGGCGCTGCCCAATACTGTCACAATGGCGGTGTGTCCACTCACAGGATGAGTGGCCCTGCCCAATACTGTCACTATGGCGGTGTGTCCACTCACAGGATGAGTGACGCTGCCCAATACTGTCACTATGGCGGTGTGTCCACTCACAGGATGAGTGACGCTGCCGTATAAACTCGCCCTCTCGGGGAAAAATTAAAATCACACACACACACACACACACACACACACACACACACACACACACACACACACACAGTGGAAAAATGGAATGCACTTGGGGAACAGGTTGTGGAAGCAAATACTATTCATACTTTTAAAACTAGGTATGATAGGGAAATGGACAGGAGTCATTGCTGTAAACAACCGATAGCTGGAAAGGCGGGATCCAAGAGTCATGCTCGATCCTGCAAGCACAAATAGGTGAGTACAAATAGGTGAGTACACACACACACACATATATATATAATATATATATATATATATATATATATATATATATATATATATATATATATATATATATATATATATATATATATATATAGTATATTTTGGTAGCAGTCTTTCCTGTAGACATATATTATTAAATATGACCGAAAAAGTAAGATTAATAATTCTAACACGAATTTTCTCAATCTTTCGTACATTACGCTTCACTGTTGGAGGTAAATCAAAATCACTTCTCCAAAATTCATTTTTATTTCTAGTCTGACGCGACACGGGCGCGTTTCGTAAAACTTATTACATTTTCAAAGACTTCACAATACACAACTGATTAGAACGTATCTCTGATTTTATATCTACATTTGAGTGAGGTGGGAAGGGTGATGTGGCATTAACACAAGACAGAACAGGAGGGGATATTAATAGGGTATTAAAAGTATCAACACAAGACAGAACAGAAACAATGGGTATTGAATAGAAGTGTTTGTAGAAAGCCTATTGGTCCATATTTCTTGATGCTTCTATATTGGAGCGGAGTCTTGAGGTGGGTAGAATATAGTTGTGCAATAATTGGCTGTTGATTGCTGGTGTTGACTTCTTGATGTGTAGTGCCTCGCAAACGTCAAGCCGCCTGCTATCGCTGTATCTATCGATGATTTCTGTGTTGTTTACTAGGATTTCTCTGGCGATGGTTTGGTTATGGGAAGAGATTATATGTTCCTTAATGGAGCCCTGTTGCTTATGCATCGTTAAACGCCTAGAAAGAGATGTTGTTGTCTTGCCTATATACTGGGTTTTTTGGAGCTTACAGTCCCCAAGTGGGCATTTGAAGGCATAGACGACATTAGTCTCTTTTAAAGCGTTCTGTTTTGTGTCTGGAGAGTTTCTCATGAGTAGGCTGGCCGTTTTTTCTGGTTTTATAGTAAATCGTCAGTTGTATCCTCTGATTTTTGTCTGTAGGGATAACGTTTCTATTAACAATATCTTTCAGGACCCTTTCCTCCGTTTTATGAGCTGTGGAAAAGAAGTTCCTGTAAAATAGTCTAATAGGGGGTATAGGTGTTGTGTTAGTTGTCTCTTCAGAGGTTGCATGGCTTTTCACTTTCCTTCTTATGATGTCTTCGATGAAACCATTGGAGAAGCCGTTATTGACTAGGACCTGCCTTACCCTACAGAGTTCTTCGTCGACTTGCTTCCATTCTGAGCTGTGGCTGAGAGCACGGTCGACGTATGCGTTAACAACACTCCTCTTGTACCTGTCAGGGCAGTCGCTGTTGGCATTGTGTTGTCCTAGTAAACAACACAGAAATCATCGATAGATACAGCGATAGCAGGCGGCTTGACGTTTGCGAGGCACTACACATCAAGAAGTCAACACCAGCAATCAACAGCCAATTATTGCACAACTATATTCTACCCACCTCAAGACTCCGCTCCAATATAGAAGCATCAAGAAATATGGACCAATAGGCTTTCTACAAACACTTCTATTCAATACCCATTGTTTCTGTTCTGTCTTGTGTTGATACTTTTAATACCCTATTAATATCCCCTCCTGTTCTGTCTTGTGTTAATGCCACATCACCCTTCCCACCTCACTCAAATGTAGATATAAAATCAGAGATACGTTCTAATCAGTTGTGTATTTGTGAAGTCTTTGAAAATGTAATAAGTTTTACGAAACGCGCCCGTGTCGCGTCAGACTAGAAATAAAAATGAATTTTGGAGAAGTGATTTTTGATTTACCTCCAACAGTGAAGCGTAATGTACGAAAGATTGAGAAAATTCGTGCTAGAATTATTAATCTTACTTTTTCGGTCATATTTAATATATATATATATATATATATATATATATATATATATATATATATATATATATATATATATATATATATATACGCTTCCTGTCCCCGACAAAACTAATTATTATACGTTTTGTTCCCTTGTTTACTTATTTTAGGAGTGATGGTGACACCTACACCACAGCCCTCACTATCACCAGCAACACCATCTCCTCCACAACACACAACCGCCACTATCACTTCAGGCATCATTGCCTACAGCCCTACACCATCACCACCACAAGAGACATCATCATCACCCTCACCACCACCATCACTACAGCCACCATCACCACCACAAGAGACATCATCATCACCCTCACCACCACCATCACTACAGCCACCATCACCACTACCATCACTCTCACTACAGTCACTATACCCAAGACAAGGCCAATAATAACAGGTAAGTTAATCAAAAAACATTTTATTATATCATTATAATCTATACACATTATCATTCTTCCATTACAGCTTGCTATACACATTCTCTCATACACATAAATACATCATACAAGGGTGCCAACAAAGCCTTTACAAAATATACACATCGGTCGTATGTTTTTGGAGACGGGGAGATGGGGAGGAAGCTAACGAGGGAATGAGAGAGAGAGAGAGAGAGAGAGAGAGAGAGAGAGAGAGAGAGAGAGAGAGAGAGAGAGAGAGAGAGAATAATAATAAGTGATAACACGGAAACCTTGTATCTCCTGAAAGAAAGATCTGAAAGTACAAGAGAAGGTAATATAATGACGAGAGAGAGAGAGAGAGAGAGAGAGAGAGAGAGAGAGAGAGAGAGAGAGAGAGAGAGAGAGAGAGAGAGAGAGAGAGGGGTATCATCTCCCCCATCAGCCCCGGTGTTCCATCAGCACGTCACTGGATTATTTAAGCAATAACACAGACAAATCATACGAGGGGGAACATTACCATACCATGACATGCTCAGGTATTGCACACACGTCTCTGTCAGTTTCAGACAGTCTGAAACAGTCTGAAACACTACCTAGTCTGCCAACACCCTCCCTACCACCACCACTGCTCTGGCAGCAGTATCACAACTAGTACTGAATGCTCTAGTAGATAGTCTAGTATTCATAATTTTTGTTTTTTATCAACCAAATCTAATCTAGCTAAAGTTAGATCAGGTTAGGTTAAGTTAGGTCAGGTTAGGGTAGGATAAGTTCGACTAGATTTGGTCTCTCATCATTGAATTATGTAAATATTCTGTTCATAGTTGGAGGAGCAGACCGGCACCTGTGTGGGCTGGTACACGGATATCATGGCACCGACCGTCATTGACTTCTACCAGCCATCTCACAAACAAACACAAACCAAACAAAAAAAAATCACCATTAACAACATAAACATTTGTATTTCTCACATTAACATCAAAAAAAGGAAGAATGAATCCTACCTTAAGGGAGAGGGGGGGGAGCATGGGAGAAGGGAAGTCATATATACACACATGTTCAAAACGTGGGGCAGGGGGGCATGTTTAAAACATATGATCACTTAAATATAAGGGTGGGTTAAAGAGTCTATGGGGTTACTCTAAATGGCCTATTAAGTGCGAGGGTTTGGTTAACAATGTGGCAATGGGTTAGACCAATTAGTTAAGAGGCCCTGGTCAGGGGTTGGTGTCAAACAGCTATAGAAGAAGGAGGCCAGGCGGCTGTGAAAGGTTACTGCGGGTCTAAACAGAGGTTTGGGGGTCACTGTATTAAACCAGATGTATGTTAGGGAGTTTAAACCAGAGGAAAGGGGGGGGGGGGGTTTAGGATCGGAATTGTTAGTACAGCACTATTGGTTTTATATTAAATGGTTGTCAATACGAGTGTTTTATAAGTGCCAACTGTAGGGTTTATATTGCGTTGGGCGAGCAACAGAGATGAACATGTTTTTCCCTATGTTCTTCACATTGTAATAGTTGAACATGGCACTCCATTTGTTCTTCACATTGCAACAGAGATGAACATGTCTCTCCCTGTGTTCTTCAGATTGTAATAGATGAACATGTATCTCCCTGTGTTCTTCAGATTGCAATAGAGATGAACATGGCAACTCCCTTTGTTCTTCAGATTGTAATAGAGGAACATGGCAACTCCCTTTGTTCTTCAGATTGTAATAGAGGAACATGGCAACTCCCTTTGTTCTTCAGATTGCAACAGAGATGAACATGGCACTCCCTGTGTTCTTCAGATTGTAATAGAGGAACATGGCACCTCCCTTTGTTCTTCAGATTGCAACAGAGATGAACATGGCACTCCCTGTGTTGTTCAGATGGCAACAGAGATGAACATGTCTCTCCCTGTGTTCTTCAGATGGCAACAGAGATGAACATGGCACTCCCTGTGTTCTACAAGGTATAACTTGGAGGGGAGGGAGATACCGGTTCATGTGTGACACTGGAGTACCAACCCATCCTCCTGTTTAAATAGAAACATTTGTAACTATGTGCAACATAGTACAAACTTAGACGTACTAAGCAATTAGACAGTAGAACTTTGTACTTTTCATTTTATAAAGTCCGAAAGAAATTATGCTAAAAAAAATTAAATATTCCTAGGCCTATCTTGTTATCTTGAGGTTATCTTGAGATGATTTCGGGGTTTTAGTATCCCCGCGGCCCGGTCCTCGACCAGGCCTCCACCCCCAGGAAGCAGCTCCGTAACAGCTGACTAACACCCAGGTACCTATTTTACTGCTAGGTAACAGGGGGCATAGGGTGAAAGAACCTCTGCCCATTGTTTCTCGCCGGCGCCCGGGATCGAACCAGGGACCACAGGATCACAAGTCCAGCGTGCTGTCCGCTCGGCCGACCGGCTCCAACCGACCTAGCCCACACATGGACTATATTTGGCCTCAGATAGCATGTATTAGACCTAGAAAGGTTAGGTTAGGGTTAGTTTGTCTTTGCAACATAAGTAGAAACTCGTTTTCCGGTTTGTCCAAATTGAATAGTACCGATTTCTACTTTCTAATTGCGTTGTATGTCGGTATATGTACTATGGTCCCTGGAAACACAAACCGAAACTGTCTCTATTTTCCGCTTGTTACAACTTGTAATAAAGTTGTTACATCTTGGCTTAACGTGTTTATGACGTATTAGAACGTTGTTACAACTTGCTATATTGGTTGTTATAATTGGTTAGGAGGTGGTAAAACTTGTTCGAACGTTGTACCAACGTCGTAGTTTCGGTGTGTGTTTGGCGGGATCCTCGTCGTTCCTGTAAGAACTACCAAAACAGGACGATGGGCTGGGAAACTGGACTTTGAATTTCAGCTGAAATTCCAATCATGATGATTGACTTCGATTAGTAATCTTAAATCGTTACAGTTATTAATAGCATTGTTAGATAGTGATAGTTACTATACACACGCATTAGTAGGTAGTTCTGTCGTTAGTGTGGTTAGGTATTGTTAGAGAGATGAGCGTAATTATTAGATATTCTCATATATAAGGTTTGTTTTGATTAACGTACACTATCAGCCTCTTCATGGTTAACTACTCAATTGCCTCGTTAGGGAAAGAGGAGGGGTGGATTGTTCAGTTGTCAGCAAAGCTTGATCAATGGGGGGAAAAAAGTACTAGAGGAGTACTAGAGTACTAGTACTCCCTGGATCCTGATTGGCGGAAATGTGGAGCTTCTTGGGTCCTGATTGGTGACTTTTTTTTTGTAAACGGACAAGCATTTACAATTGCGCTTGTTGTCCTTTTCAAATTGTCCTATGGAACAGCCTTGTTTGGAACATATGGCACTCGAGGCCGTGTCTAACACCATTTAGAACTCTGAACAATTACAAAAGCCGTATTCCGAACATTCCGAACAGTCTTAATTTCCCATTCCGAACAGTCTTAATTTCCCATTTCGAACAGTCTTAAAAAAAAACATTTCACCATTCCTAATTGTCTTGATTCTCGTACAAGCGGTACCGATCTCTTTGTTTCTAACCTCTGAATTGGCTCGTTTCTCTCAGACCATCTGAGTGGCCGCTTTCTCAGTCCAATTGCGTAATAACAGCCTTGAATCCATTCCGAATTGTCGAACAGTCTTCAAGCTTGTTCGAACTCCGTACAACCCCGCTGACAACGCCCCGACCCGACCTTCTTCTTCTTCTCAAGAATTGGTAGTTAAGATTTTCGATGAAGCAGGCTTAGAATCTGGAAAGAAAACGAAATGTTGTTGTTATAGATTCAGCTACTCGGAACAAGTTCCAAGTAGCACGGGCTATGGTGAGCCCGTAACTTACCTGGCACAGGAGCGGTGACCCCAGTCAGAAAATAAAAGAGTGTTCGTTATTTGGGAAATGGGATGGAAGCTGGTGATTGGAAAAAAGGGGAATGGAGAAGGGAGAGGGGGGGGGCGGTAAGAATTTTGGGAAATGGGTTATCTTGAGATATGATTTCGGGGCTTAGCGTCCCCGCGGCCCGGTCCTCGACCAGGCCTCCTTTTTGTTACACACACCCCAGGAAGCAGCCCGTAGCAGCTGTCTAACTCTCAGGTACCTATTTACTGCTAGGTAACAGGGGCATCAGGGTGAAAGAAACTGCCCATTTGTTTCCGCATCCACCGGGGATCGAACCCGGAGCCTCAGGACTACGAATCTGAAGAGCAGTCCACTCAGCTGTCAGGCCCCCTTGTGGGGTTGGGGTAATTTTTGAAATGGGGGTTTGGGAAATTTTGAATAATAGGTTTTGAGAAATTTTGAATAATGGGTTTGGGGTAATTTTGAATAATGGGGTTGGAAAAATATAAAGTAATGGGTTTTGGTATAATTGGAAAGGGAAGTAGAATAACCTTAATAGGTCCTTAATGAAACAAGAAATAGTTCAATGACTTATCAACGACTTAACGAGATGACTAAAACGGCACAAAGATTTGAGGATAGTTGGACGATAATGATCTCTCTACCGGTACACCATAAAGACTATTGTGCTAAATGACCTATAATGATTCTTGTACCACTTACAGCCATCATTAGTGTATTATGTATACATATACATATGTAGTCCCCCTGTGTGTCTGTTAGAGAGAGAGAAGCCCCGCCCACAGCCATCTCTGATTGGCTGTTACTGACCCACCCTCAGCCAATGAGATGAGTCTGTGTGCGGGGCTTAACGGATGTTGACATTCAAATTGAAAAAAGTAAACATTGTGTCAACAGAACGGTTGGGGTTTTCTGTCAATTTCTCACCTGCTAGCGAACTTGTATGTTAGCCTGCTCGGAGTGGTGTGTGTGGGCGTGAGCGTGGGCGTGGGCGTGGGCGTGGGCGCTGGTAGGGACGCGGAAGGCCCGTTGCTTCTCTTCAAACTCCCTAAGACGTGCCTTGTATTTCTCGATCTCCTCTCGTAGTATCCGGTCCTCCTCCTGCGTGGGGGGCAGAGGAGGGTAGATGAGGCGTGGGGTTGTATATATATATATCTTACAGTCTCCTACTTCACGATATTCATTATTACAGTTACAGTCCCGCTCCTGTGCCAAGGTAAGTCCACTACGGGATCGCCATAGCCCGTGCTACTTGGAACTTTTTATTCCCAGTAGCTGAATCTATAACAACAACAGGATATTATATTTACCTCCCCTTACTCATCACCTCCCCCCCCCACACTTACCCCTTTTCCCCTTACTCACCTATTCACCCCCCCTTCCCCCTTACTCACCTATTCACCCCCTTCCCCCTTACTCACCTATTCACCCTCCCCCCCACCTTCCCCACCAGCAGCACCATACTCACGGCGGCGCTGTCCTCGTCGTACTCCAGACATGCCACTCCATCCAGTCGCTCGAGGTCGACGTAGCCTCTCCACCTGACGCACACTCCGTTCATGATGAAGGGCGACCGTAGGTGCACCTGGAGGGGGGGAAGGAGAGGAGACATGACAGCGACGTAGCAGATCCTCAGATGAAAAAAGTGAGTCAATGAAGAGGACTTCTGATGTGTAGACAGGTGAGGTGGGGGGGTGGAAAGAAGAGACATCTGATATTGCAGGGCTCAGGAGCTAAGACTCGACCCCTGCAAGTGTATTTAGGTGATCACACCTATTTAGACACACACACACTCATATACTGACACCAGTTGATTGACAGTTGAGAGGCGGGACCAAAGAGCCAGAGCTCAACCCCGCAAACACAACTAGGTGAGTACAACTAAGTGAGTACTCGGTATATACACTCACATAACACTTAATACAGTATGTTAAGCAGGCGATGAGTCACAATAACGTGGCTGAAGTATGTTGACCAGACCACACACTAGAAGGTGAAGGGACGACGACGTTTCGGTCCGTCTTGGACCATTCTCAAGTCGATTGAGAATGGTCCTTGAGAATGGTCCAGGACGGACCGAAACGTCGTCGTCTCTTCAACTTCTAGTGTGTGGTCTGGTCAACAGTATGTTAACAAAAAATCCATAACAAATGCAATTGTTTTGCAGCAGCAAAAAAATGCAGCATGCACTGTAATTATGAACAATGCCATTTAACGCAGAAATGAAGAAAAAGCACATATTAAGAACTATGCCTTTTCAATACAAGCAGAGCTAACTGCCATTGTTAAGGCGTTAAGATGCCTTGAACGAAACACTAATGCCGCAGTGATCTGCACTGACTAAAGCAGCGCTACTGAGTCTAAGCAAAAATCGGGCAGAAAACCTTGCGATAGTCGCCGATATCGCAAATTTAGGATAGGCATTCCAAATCGCAGGCTTGGCGTTTTCCCCTGATAGTTCCATTCCATTCCCATGTTGGAATATGTGGGAATGAACGAGCAGATGTGCTGGCTGCTGAAGGCGCTGAAGGAGACCATATTGAATACTTCATACCCAAATTTAAATTTTTTTTAAATTTTGCCCCGAGGGGCGAGTTTATAGGGCAGCGCCACTCATCCTGTGAGTGGACACACCGCCATAGTGACAGTATTGGGCAGGGCCACTCATCTTGTGAGTGGACACACCGCCATAGTGACAGTATTGGGCAGCGCCACTCATCCTGTGAGTGGACACACCGCCATAGTGACAGTATTGGGCAGCGTCACTCATCCTGTGAGTGGACACACCGCCATAGTGACAGTATTGGGCAGCGCCACTCATCCTGTGAGTGGACACACCGCCATAGTGACAGTATTGGGCAGCGCCACTCATCCTGTGAGTGGACACACCGCCATAGTGACAGTATTGGGCAGCGCCACTCATCCTGTGAGTGGACACACCGCCATAGTGACAGTATTGGGTAGCGCCACTCTTCCTGTGAGTGGACACACCGCCATAGTGACAGTATTGGGCAGCGCCACTCATCCTGTGAGTGGACACACCGCCATAGTGACAGTATTGGGCACCACCACTCATCCTGTGAGTGGACACACCGTCATAGCAGCATGTACAACACTCCCCAATAGGAAGAAAACCCGCTGGGTTGTTCATCCTGTCACTTGTACCCAGACACAGCTGGGACTTGCTTAACTGTCTCAAGTGAACAGCTCCTCAAACAAAATTCATACCCAAGACTCTACTACAAATTAGAGGTATTGTCAGGCTACATCACAGTGACAAGGTAACTGAGGAAAGGAGGATAGAAGCACAAACCAGTGAATCTGTACGATGATACAATGTGGTTGCAGCTGCTATTCCCAATCCTGGGATCTAGCAATCCCGGTCCTTGTGGTCCTTGGACCTCCTTAAGTCTCTCTGAGGAGGTTCAAAAGTCTCGATATAACGATCAACTAGTTCTTAACTACTTCAGTAAGGACGTCTTTGTAGCGAAATAGATCCAGGTTTAAAATACTCCGAAATACATCAAGATAACAACCTACAGCAGAATACATCGGGATGAAATATACAAATAACACAGTAGAATACAACGTACTCACCTTAGTTGTGCTTGCGGGGGTTGAGCTTCGGCTCTTTGGTCCCGCCTCTCAACTGTCAATCAACTGGTGTACAGGTTCCTGAGCCTACTGGGCTCTATCATATCTACATCTGAAACTGTGTATGGAGTCAGCCTCCACCACATCACTGCCTAATGCATTCCATCTGTTAACTACTCTGACACTAACAAATTCTTTTTAATGTCTCTGTGGCTCATTTGGGTACTAAGTTCCCACCTGTGTCCCCTTGTTCGTGCCCCACCCGTGTAAAATAGTTTGTCTTTCCCTACCCTGTCAATTCCTCTGAGAATTTTGTAGGTGGTGATCATGTCTTTCCAAGGACCTGAGGTTTAGCTCCCGTAGCCTTTCCTCGTTACTCATATCTCTCAGCTCTGGGACGAGTCTGGTGGCATACCGCTAAATCTTCTCTAACTTTCTCTTGTGCTTAACAAGGTATGGACTCCAGGCTGGAGCTGCATACTCCAGGATTGGTCTGACATATGTGGTATACAGGGTTCTGAATTATTCCTGACACAAGTTTCTAAAGGCAGTTTGTAGCGTGGGGGCTACAACCGTTAGGGAAGGGGCAATAAACGAAGCCTTGCTTGGTCAAAACTCTCTACAACAGGTTATTGACCAATAAAGTCAACCACTATTGTTAGGGGGGCCTCCACTATGTCCACTACCACAGCTAGGACGCCACAGCTAGGACACCACAGCTAGGACGCCACAGCTAGGACACCACAGCTAGGACACTACAGCTAGGACGCCACAGCTAGGACACCACAGCTAGGACACTACAGCTAGGACACCACAGCTAGGACGCCACAGCTAGGACGCCACAGCTAGGACACCACAGCTAGGACACTACAGCTAGGACGCCACAGCTAGGACACTACAGCTAGGACGCCACAGCTAGGACACTACAGCTAGGACACTACAGCTAGGACGCCACAGCTAGGACACTACAGCTAGGACGCCACAGCTAGGACACTACAGCTAGGACACCACAGCTACGACGCCACAGCTAGGACACCACAGCTAGGACACCACAGCTAGGACACCACAGCTAGGACGCCATTAACTCTCAGGCGGGAACAGGGTGACCTGACACAGCTGAAGATCTATGTAGCATATAAAGTGGAGCAGTGGTAAGACACCCACCCGGCGCTTCGCGAGCGCTTTCGCCTGGGTTCGTATCTTGACCGGGGGAGGATTGGCCCAGCGCCAATCCTTAACTGTAATCTCTGTTCACCCAGCAGTGAATGGGTACCTGGTTGTTAAACAATTTAGCGGGTCGTATTCCAGGGGAAAATTAGGATTAAGGCCCTGCCCGAAACGCTATGCGTACTAGTGGCTGTACAAGAATGTTAGAACTCTATATATTGTGTGTATATATATATATATATATATATATATATATATATATATATATATATATATATATATATATAAACAAATAACGACGGCCAAGATAGATCTATCAGACGACGGCCAAGATAGATCTATCAGACGGCGGCCAAGATAGATCTATCAGACGGCGGCCAAGATAGATAGATCTATCAAACGACGGCCAAGATAGATCTATCAGACGACGGCCAAGATAGATAGATCTATCAGACGGCGGCCAAGATACATCTATCATCCGACGACCAAGCCAAACATGTTCCGTCATCACCGTCTGTTCCTGGAGCAACAGCCACCACCACCAACCACCCAATACAGTCACTCTCACAACAGTTATCTCCTGATACAGCCATCTAGTCATCACTGCCTCCATCATTTGTCCGGACAAAAACGCCTCACCACACCGTTTCCAAATACACTTTCCAACCTTTTGAGAAATTGTTGGACCATGGGCCAACACCCCCGCCCGCCTCCTTGACCAGCGAGGCTACTGCGGTCAGACCCAACAACGTGTCCCCTGACCAGAGAAAAATGTACCTTTAACCATAGAAAATGGGCCAGTGACCGCAAATCTTGCCAACTTGAGGCGTTACTCTATCCACTCAACCCAACGTTTCGGCCATTTGCCTGTCAGTTTTAGCTTAATTAAGGATGCAGCATACCGTAGGAAGATGTTTTCTGGGATTTGGAGAGGATAGGCATCGTGCAGGAGGCAGGTGGACCGCAGGATAGGCCGAGGGATGCGAGAGAGAGCTGGTAAGAATAGGTCTATAAAACGGGCCATCCATCAAGGCCCAGTAAATCTGTCCAAACCTAGCCCGGGGCGGGACGACCTCTCTGTTCACACTCTCTAATAGGCTTTTATGTCGGTCCTCGACCACACGCACCAGTCGGCCCATTATGCGTCCATATCCGTTACCTCGAGGACCACTCGCTGGGTCGAGGGGCAGGCCAGGTCCTGGCTGGCCTGTCTTGGGTAATAAGGAGAGACTTGATATCTAAATTATCAGCCTCGAGGATGAGGAGGATATCCCTACCTGATATCTCTAGTTGATAACCTCACACTTCGTCTGTTAGTTAGTGTGTGTATATATGTAGCGCACACTTGGGCTCTAGATGAATACAGGTTTAAGTGTAAGTATTTTGAAGTCGTTCTAAAAGCAGTTAAATTTTTTTGCACATTGTCTTGAATTGTCTCGATGTTGAACATTCATCTGAATTCCAGATGTCGAACGTTCATCTAGATTTTCAAGAGTCATGTAGTTATGTTGAACGTTCGTCTAGATGTTGAACGTTCGTCTAGATGTTGAACGTTCGTCTAGATGTTGAACGTTCGTCTAGATGTTGAACGTTCGTCTAGATGTTGAACGTTCGTCTAGATGTTGAACGTTCGTCTAGATGTTGAACGTTCGTCTAGATGTTGAACGTTCGTCTAGATGTTGAACGTTCGTCTAGATGTTGAACGTTCGTCTAGATGTATGATCTAGCGAGTCCTTCAAAGTCCGAGAAATCATGTCATCTCAAGATAACCTAACCTTGCCTAGTTTTAGTGTTCCAAGACGCGACTTGTTACTTAATGTTGTT